CTATTCCCCAAAATCTTCGCGAACAATTTATAGTCGCACACATGAGAGTAATCGCCCTGTAATCCTTAAGTGTACTCTGCCCCTTACCCTTGGGCACAAGCACTACGACCCCTGTACTTTGCTTCTCGCCCAATTCTCCCCCATCTTTCATTCTATTGAACAGCGTTACTAAAAAACCCTTAACAGATCCCAATGTTTTAAGTAAAATTCACTTGGTAGTCCATCAATACCTGGTGCTTTGCCTCTGCACATGTCTACAAGCGCTCTCCATATCTCCCCCTCTTCAATCTCACCACCCAAAGCTTCCCTGTCCTTACTCCCCAGAGCTACGGGCTCTACAGCACACACCCCATCAAGATCCTCCCTATTAACTCCTTTACTTTTCCAATAATGCCCATACCACGCATCCGCGAACATACTCATCACCTCCGTTGTTTTTAACACCTGCCCCTCCCTAAACCCTTTTCACCTCAGTGTGCACTTCCAAATCTGCTATTGTGGTCGCTGTCCTCCTCTGCTGTTGTCTCCTCAACACACATGCCGATGGCTTGTTCCCCCAAAGCACTTCCTCCACACCCGCCTGCACCCGCACCGCATGAAATCTCTCCTCCTGCACTTCTCTTATCCTGCTCTTCAGATCATCTATTGCCTCTGTTTGGAAAACCCCTCCCACTACTCCTTGTTCATGATAGTATCCTATTCTACTTTCCAAATAATTTGTTAATCCATACTTCAGTCGATTTATCCGCTTCCCCTCACCCACGTAAAACCTACGAATCCTCTCCTTGGCCACACTGTCCCACCAACGTACAACATTATCAACCCTTTTTGCCTCCTCACTTAGCTTCCTCCACAGCGAAGCAAACCCTTCCTCCACTTCCTCATCCTCAAGGAGTCGCGTGTTTAATTTCCAGTAGCTTTCAAACCGTTTCACTAACGAGTCCCATGCTACCCCCACCACCACTGCCCTGTGATCTGAATAAATTGCTTCTATAGTGTTAAAAGACTCCACTGAAACCCCTTGCGTTATATAGATCCTATCCAGTCTAGCTGCGTATTCCCTCCTTACATACGTATGTTGCACTTCACCTATTCCACCCCAAAATGCATCTCGTACCCCAATATCTCTACACAGGTCTCGCAACACGTTTGAAAAATATCCCGCCCCGCTGGCATCACATCAAATCTCCGTATTATACAATTCCAATCTCCCCCAATCAATGCAACCCTGGGCAGTGCTCTCAAGAAATACACCAGATCATCCCTTACAAATGCCGATTTTACCCTCGCATCGTTCTCCGCCGGAGCATACACTCCAACAAAGGACACGCGTTCACGCATCCACCACCCGTCCACTCTCATTATTCTTCCCTCACCCCCCCCTCAAACCTTTGCAAAACAAATGGGCTTGCCTCACGAATTAAAACACCTACTCCACCTTTTAAACGTGTCGTTGGAGTTACAAAAGCCCTATATCCTTCCACCTCCAGCAATTTTCCTATTTTCAAGTTATGCTCTTGTATAAAGGCAACATCTACCTTGTAACGATACAGCAGTCCTCGCAACCATACACACTTACCACTCTTACATAAACCATTAACATTAATTGTCATACACCTTAGGCCTGCTTACGTTTTCCACCCACTTTTCCCCACCACATTTTTCCGCTGTCCAGTAACCTCATACACACCGTCCTTGGCACTCACCCCATCCCCTCCACTCCTAACCCCTTGCTGGCGTTTCTTTTTCTCTGTGCCTCTACACACACCTTCAATCCCCGCCTTTTTCCCTGGTCTTTGTGCTGGAGTGAGGACGTCATCCGAGTCAGATGTGACAGCTGCCCGCTTCCTCGACACTTCCTCTTCTGCCATGCTAGTCTCCTGACCTTCCTCGTTGTGCACCTCGACCTCTATCACCTCATTCCCCTTCTCACTACTTGGCCAAGCCGACATTACATTCCTTTCTTCAGACCCGCATGCTTCCCCTTGTCCCTGTACCTGGTCTCCCGTCGTTACCTCTGTCAAGGCTTCCTCCGATTTAGGGAACATCTCCTGCAAAACTGTCTCAAGCACGACGTCAATTTCTACGTCATTTGGTACGTCCTTGTCCGCCTCGTGGATCACATCCTCAGCAGACGCACTCAATTGCTGCACTGCACCCTCATGCTCCACCTCACGTTGCATTTCCTCCACTTCCTCACTCCACAACCGACCACGCCTACGTCCATCCTGGCGGTTCTGATCTGTCACTGTAGGTCCTCGCCTCGTAATGTCACTTCTTGGTATTCCCTGGCCAGTCCTCCGCCGCACACATTCAGCCGCTATGTGATCATAACCATCACACAGTCTACAAGTTCTACGTTGGCCAGCGTAAGTTACGAGTATTTGTGTCCTAAATTCATCTAAGAACACATACGAAGGTATAGGTTGCCTCAGAGTCATCTTTAGGTTAAAACTACCTTCCGGATAACCCACATAAGCCCCTGCCGTCCACTTGCCTTGTTGAGCTACGTGTACAGTTCCAAACTTCCCGAACACACTACGTAGGTCAGCTTCATTTGCCTCGAAAGGCACATTACGTAACTTTACATACGTAAATTGACTCGAACATCGACCATCTTTACCAGGATGCCCTCGTTAACCTCGATAGCAACATCCTGATATTGAGCAAGTAGATCCTCATACACGTGTGATGACAGCAGTTTCACGAACATTCGGTAGTTTCCATTTAAGGCTACACCGTAAAGGTCGCAATCCTCAATCCCATATGTCTCTCGAATAATCAGAGGCAACAACGTCAACGCCGAATCTTGATTAATTGTACCTCTCAGTAATTCTATGCCGACAGTGTTAATTCTGCGTCGCACCCCAACCACCATTGTGACAGCCTGGCTAGCACTTGCGCCTGTCAGAGAGGAGTAGCAAAACGTCCACCCTCACCGGCAGCTGGGCGAGGAATACAACCCTTTAAGTACATATCCTGTGTTGCATAGACATATGCATCAGATTAATTAGGGAGGTGTTCGGTTGAGTAAGAGCTCCTTAAGCCTGACTGGTAACTATGAAGAATGTTGTTGTCATTAAGATACTTAACTACTTGACAGTACACCGCCCTCTCTAGAATTTTGGATATTATACTGAGTATACTAACAGGCTTATTCTTGCTGACATCAGATCTACTATTTTTCTTGAAGATAGGAGTAACTCTGGCCTCTTTGAACTCCTCTGGTACGGTATTAGTGGTCATGGACTAATTTATTATGTGAGCAATGAGACTGGCAGTTCAGAGGCACCATCTTGTTATCAGGGCCGGTGCTCTTAGTTGGGTTTAACCTGCTTAGTTCTTTTTGCACGAAGTCATGAGATACACTTACTAGTTGACAACTGTTTGGGGTTACCCCTTTATTGGTATAGTATGTTTTAAACTTATCAGAGTCTGTGTTAAAGGTATTTGATGCAGCTGGTAGTTTACTTACTAGTGTTGATACAACAGTTGTGTAGTAGGAATTAAAACAATTTGCCACTTTAGTTGCTTCGTGGCATATTTAGTATTATGTTACATCTATCTACGGATCTATCTAGGAGAGCGATGAATACACTCAGAGAATCCAATAAATGTAAGGGGACCAAGACTCTTCAACCTACTCCCACTAAGCATAAAAGAAATTACCAACAAACCCTTAGCTGTCTTTAAGAGTGAACTTCATGTTCCTCTAAGCATTTGCTGATCAGTCGGGCCGAGGTGCATACGTAGACTGCTTGCGTCACACACCAAAAGTCTGATCGATCAGGGCAGTAACCAGGAAACCTGGTCTAGGAACATTGGCACAAGGACTGATCCCCGGATGAGACTCCGGATAATTCAATTGCTGCTGGAAGTCATGTGCTGGACAAAATGTCGATGTGTAAGACAACTGCAGACTCTGCGGGAAATCTTCAGGTGCTGTGTGTAATGGTATCCGCACACTGCAGTATATTTAATAATATTAAAAAAAATGATGCATGCATGGTTAAAGAACATTTTGTTCGGATTTTAACTTGGAGGGTTAGTAACCCAGGATAACCCAGTAAAGCCACTGTCATAAGATTACGTATTTTGCTATTTCCATTGTGATCCTAAGTCATCTCATTCAGAAAGCGACCAACGCCGTCATGAGCAAACACCCAGGTACCTACTTACTGTTAGGTGAATAGGGGCAGTAGGTGTAAGGAAACTAACACCCAGGTACCTACTTACTGTTAGGTGAATAGGGGCAGTAGGTGTAAGGAAACTAACACCCAGGTACCTACTTACTGTTAGGTGAACAAGGGCAGCAGGTGTTAGGATACATCTGAATCACTTGTCCTGGGATGGAACACAGGTCCCGCAGTGTTAAGAAAGTATGTGTGTAAATTACCGAGTTATTATATGTAATTTGTTATAACTATTGACAATAAAAACAGTGTGTGAGCCGAGTCAGTGTGGGCAACAATTATATATCAAGATAATTCATAAAAATCTCTTGAGCTATGCTGTGATGGGAGATGTCCAGACACAGGTTAATAGACCGTCTGTAATCACTATATATGTAAGCTTGTATTATTATACCAGATAAAACACCAGTGCTATTAACACCGTACATAGGCTGACTGTAATATAACATGTAACACAGATGGAATACAGATTTCTGCATGTGGATAAAATATTTAATCGGAGTTGTTTCAAAACTACAAAAAAAAAAAAATGTTATCATGAAAGAAAAATGTAAATAAAGGTTTATCTATCGCCTACAAATTGCTGCCAGACTTGGCCAGATGACTGCTCATACCGCAGTTACTCCAAACGATTATCAAGCTTAAAAATAGAATAATTTGCGAGGCAGGTTCTAAAGCACACTATAATAATACTCAAAGTTTGCTAAGCTCCAATGAGGGAGTAAAATAAGAAGAAAACAGAGGAAGATGAGAGTGTATTGTGGAGTGTTGAGGGTGTGGCAGCGGTGGGGAGGACTGCAGCGCCGCCAGCCAGACTAGCAGTCAGTGCGGACTGTGACGTGATCATTGGAGGACGTATATCATTGCTGCTCCTCCCTTCACTAATACTACACTGCTAACAAAAATGACACTCGTTCCTAGCTAGAATATCGCCACAATGTTCGAAAGTCTGGTATCGGAGCTGTTAAATAGGGTGCTGGGGACCTACATCGAGAACCTGGATGGTTCGAAACTCAAGCTGAGCATCTGGGGAGGTAAGAAACTTATTGTAGTAGCTTGTTGCCATAACCCTAGTGTTGCCATAGCCCTGATGTTGCCATAGCCCTGGTGTTGCCATAGCCCTGATGTTGCCATAGCCCGGGTGTTGCCATAGCCCTGATGTTGCCATAGCCCGGGTGTTGCCATAGCCCTGATGTTGCCATAGCCCTGGTGCTGCCATAGCCCTGGTGTTGCCATAGCCCTGATGTTGCCATAGCCCTGGTGTTGCCATAGCCCTGGTGTTGCCATAGCCCTGATCTTGCCATAGCCCTGGTGTTGCCATAGCCCTGGTGTTGCCATAGCCCTGGTGTTGCCATAGCCCTGGTGTTGCCACGGCCCTGGTGTTGCCACGGCCCTGGTGTTGCCACGGCCCTGGTGTTGCCACGGCCCTGGTGTTGCCATAGCCCTGGTGTTGCCACGGCCCTGGTGTTGCCACGGCCCTGGTGTTGCCATAGCCCTGGTGTTGCCATAGCCCTGGTGTTGCCATGGCCCTGGTGTTGCCACGGCCCTGGTGTTGCCACGGCCCTGGTGTTGCCATAGCCCTGGTGTTGCCATGGCTCTGGTGTTGCCACGGCCTTGGTGTTGCCATGGCTCTGACGGTGTTGCCACGGCTCTGGTGTTGCCACGGCTGTGGCCATGGCTCAGTGTTGCCATGGTTCTGATGGTGTTGCCACGGCCCTGGTGTTGCCATGGCTCTGACGGTGTTGCCACGGCAATGGTGTTGCCATGGCTCCGACGGTTGCCATGGCTCTGGTGTTGCCACGGCCCTGATGTTGCCATGGCTCTGGTGTTGCCAGGGCTCTGTGGCCATGGCTCAGTGTTGCCATGGTTCTGACGGTGTTGCCACGACCCTGGTGTTGCCATGGCTCTGACGGTGTTGCCACGGCCCTGGTGTTGCCATGGCTCTGACGGTGTTGCCACAGCCCTGGTGTTGCCATGGCTCTGGTGTTGCCACGGCCCTGGTGTTGCCATGGCTCTGATGTTGCCATGGCTCTGGTGTTGCCATGGCTCTGGTGTTGCCATAGCTCTGGTGTTGCCATAGCCCTGGTGTTGCCATGGCTCTGGTGTTGCCATAGCCCTGTTGCCATGGCTCTGGTGTTGCCATGGCTCTGGTGTTGCCACGGCCTTGGTGTTGCCATGGCTCTGGTGTTGCCACGGCCTTGGTGTTGCCACGGCTCTGGTGTTGCCACGGCTCTGGTGTTGCCATGGCTCTGACGGTGTTGCCACGGCTCTGGTGTTGCCACGGCCCTGATGTGGCAATGGCTCAGACGGTGTTGCCACGGCTCTGGTGTTGCCATGGCTCAGACGGTGTTGCCACGGCTCTGGTGTTGCCATGGCTCTGACGGTGTTGCCACGGCCCTGGTGTTGCTACGGCCCTGGTGTTGCCACAGCCCTGGTGTTGCCATAGCCCTTGTGTTGCCATAGCCCTTGTGTTGCCATAGCCCTTGTGTTGCCATAGCCCTTGTGTTGCCATAGCCCTGGTGTTGCCATAGCTCTGGTGTTGCCATAGCCCTGGTGTTGCCATGGCTCTGGTGTTGCCACGGTCCTGATGTTGCCATAGCTTTGGTGTTGCCATAGCCTTGATGTTGCCATAGCCCTGATGTTGCCATGGCTCTGGTGTTGCCACGGCCCTTGTGTTGCCATGGCTCTGACGGTGTTGCCACGGCCTTGGTGTTGCCATGGCTCTGGTGTTGCCACGGCCCTGGTGTTGCCACGGCTCTGGTGTTGCCACGGCTCTGGTGTTGCCATGGCTCTGGTGTTGCCACGGCTCTGATGTGGCCATGGCTCAGTGTTGCCATGGTTCTGATGGTGTTGCCACGGCCCTGGTGTTGCCATGGCTCTGACGGTGTTGCCACGGCCCTGGTGTTGCCATGGCTCCGACGGTGTTGCCACTGCCCTGGTGTTGCCATGGCTCTGGTGTTGCCACGGCCCTGATGTGGCCATGGCTCTGACGGTGTTGCCACGGCCCTGGTGTTGCTATGGATCTGGTGTTGCCATGGCTCTGACGGTATTGCCACAGCCCTGATGTTGCCATGGCTCTGACGGTGTTGCCATGGCTCTGACGGTATTGCCACAGCCCTGATGTTGCCATGGCTCTGACGGTGTTGCCATGGCCCTGATGGTGCCATGGCTCTGACGGTATTGCCACGCCCCTGGTGTTGCCATGGCTCTGGCGGTGTTGCCACGACCCTGCTGGCGTTACCATGGTCCTGGTGTTACCATGGCTCTGACGGTGTTGCCACGGCCCTGGTGTTGCCATGGCTCTGACGGTGTTGCCATGGCCCTGATGGTGCCATGGCTATGGTGCTGCCACAGCCCTGGTGTTGCCATGGCTCTGATGTTGCCACGGCCCTGATTGTGTTGCCAGGGCCCTGATGGTGTTGTCACTGCCCTGGTGGTGTAGCCACGGCCCCTATGGTGTTGAAATAGCCCTGGTTGTAAGCAAGTTTATTCAGGTATACACAAATACAGTTACATAGATTATCATACATAACAGCATGTGTAGAGAACCTAGGATAACCCAAAAAAGTCAGTGCTTATTTCCATTGGGGTCCTTTAGGACCCCAATGCTATAACCCCGATTGTTTCCAGCCTCCGATTGCGTTGTCACAGCCCCCGATTGCGTTGCCGTAGCCCTGATTGTTGCCGTATCCGTGTGTGTCTTGTAGCCCCGTGTACTGTAATGGTCGTGTGTAGAGGTAGCTGGTATGGGACAATCTACCTTATCCGTGATTGCAAGGTTGATTGTCGTGGTAGCTGGCGAGTTGGGAATATTGCAGGATAGTGTGAACTCAAGTAGCCTTGACAGTGGTTTATTAGCTGTGGGTTACACCAGGCAAACAGGAGTAAGGGCAGCCAGTGCCAATACCAGGAAGGAGGTGCTGACCACAGGGTAGCTGTCGAAGAAGTGAGGGGCAAGTACTCACGACCTTTCTCAATGGGGGGGGCACCTACCGAGGCCTACGAGAAGCAGGCCTAATTCAAATTCAAAGTTTATTCTCTATAAGGATTACAATGCTGAGTTTACAGAATTTGGTTATTGTGTGGTTTACATGTAGTAAAATAATTAGAGTATACCACTAGAACACCTAGCATGGCTAGGCATTTCAGGCAGACTTAAATTAAATCTTAAGTTTAAAATATTACAAAATTGAGGTAAATTGGTATTATGGCTAAGTGACTAAATACTAGTTTGTGAGTTTAGCAATGTGAATGCTTTTGTTTTGGCACTATACATAGTTTCAGTATTGGAGTATCACAGGCCAACTTATGCATAGTTAAGATTCATTATTTTGAGATTGAGATTGATATTTCTGTTTATGGTCAAATGGGTGAGTGAGTGTAAGTGTGAACCACCAGGTGGTATTCATGTAATTAGTTGACAGGGTGTATCAGGGAGATAAGATGTTTTCTGATGGTAGTTTTGAAGGTGATGAATGTGTGTGCAGTTTTAGAATTTTCAGGTAGGGTGTTCCAGATTTTAGGGCCTTTGACATACATTGAATTTTTGTAAAGGTTTAGTCGGACACGGGGAATGTCATAGAGATGTTTGTGTCTGGTGTTGTGCCTGTGGGTTCTGTCGCAACTATCAAGAAAGCGTTTTAGGTCAAGGTTAATATTGGAATTTAAGGTCCTGTAGATGTAGATTGCACAGTAGTAAGTGTGGATGTACTGAACAGGGAGTAAGTTTAGATCTATGAACACCATATCCCCTTTAAAATCAGGCATAATTACAGATAATACCACAGACCACTACCCGACTTTCCTCATAACAACTCTTGGTAAATTACCCCAAGACACTACTAAAGTCACCTTCAGACTTCACAATGAGGCAGCCATTAATAACTTCACAACAGCAGTAGCAAACATTGACTGGCACACTGAGCTAGAAATCTATACAGATATTGACGAATGTATTAATAATTTTCTAAAAAAGACCCAATACCTCTATAACAAGCATGCCCTAAAAAAACTAAACAGATGACAGCTAAGAGACTGAACAGTCCCTGGCTAACACCAGCATTCTCAAATCCATAAATACAAAACACCAATATGAAAAACAGTACAGAATGGGTCACATAACCAGAGACCAAACAAAACGTTACTCGTCAATCCTAACCAGCCTGATAAGAAGGGCAAAAAAATTGTATTATGAGAACAGATTATCCAACTTACGAGGTGATATAAAAAAGACCTGGAAAACCCTATCAGAAATTCTAGGAACAAAAAAGATATACGAAATAGCGAAATAAAAATTAGCAAAATCAGATGAACCCCAACTCCCACCAACAGAAACAGCAAACAGACTCAATGATTTCTTCTCCACTATAGGACAAAACCTTGCCAATAAAATCCCAAGCTCAGATACCCCACCAAATGACTACCTCACCGGCAACTACCCGAACACACTGTTCCTAGCTCCGACTAACCCATACGAAGTCTCCCTTATTATCAACACACTAAAAAACAAGGCAGGAGATTTAAATACCTTACCACCCTTTATATACAAAAAAGTGTCACAAGTGCTATCACCAATCATTGCAACACTCTTTAACAAATCCATTGAATCCTCCACCTTCCCTACAGTACTCAAAATAGCAAGGGTCACCCCGATCCACAAAGGAGGAGACCAAACAGAGTTGAATAACTATAGGCCAATATCCAACTTACACCCTCTCTCAAAAATCTTCGAAAAATTAATTCATAACGAATCTACTCCTACCTTATCTCCCAAAACATACTCAACCCCTGCCAATTTGGATTCAGGCCTAATAAAAATACTAATGATGCTATTATACACATGCTAGAACATATATACACTGCAATAGAGAAAAAAGAAGTCCCACTGGGGATCTTCATTGACTTACGTAAAGCTTTTGATACAGTTGACCATGACTTGCTCCACGTAAAATTGTCACACTATGGTATAAGAGGGCACTCCCTCAACTACCTCAAGTCATACCTCAGCAACAGAAGCCAATATGTGTATGCAAAT